ACAGGAGCCACCCAGAAACGAGTATCTTGAACTCTTCTGATATAGAAACCACCTAAGCCCAGAGTCACAGAGCTGCCTGTAGACATCACAGCAGAACTCCCTGACAAAGCATTTTAATCTGTTTTCTCTTAGATGGTGATTCATGAGCTCATCTTCGTATAGGTAGACTGCAATATTACATCTCCTGCACTACATAGAACATGTTTTCAGTATCAGATCCCACAATAAATGTGTTCCCTGAAGTATGCTTTAGAGAATCATGGTTTCACTTAGTGTGACATCCAAAGAACATCTTAGATCGTGCTGAGGAAGGTATTCTTCAAGATCCTGACATGCTCATTTCACAGACGTGATCAGCCTTGCAAAGTCATGCCGACATTCTGATAGGCTCCATTCCACAACACTGTACTGATGTAACATTCCTGGACAAAAACCTAAAGATCACAGTTGTTCAAGAAATCCTTGCTAATATATTTTATGGACTGAAAAAAATCTTGCCAACTTTTTGATGATCCTTCAAGGGCAACATTTCAAATATAATATCCTTCTCTGGACATTGAACAGTATTTCAGTTATTGCTGACTGGTCAACATTTGGGTTAAATTCCAGAACAAAACAGTTTTAAAATAAAATTGTTCATGAAATGTTACAGTTTAATACTATCTGAAGACCTATTTAGACAGAGCCAAAATGGACCAGTTTATGACTAGATAAAATGAAAAATGTCGTTGATTAGCCTAGAAAAGCAACATAAAAAATGCAGTCACAAAGCAAAGCAAATGATATGCTGAAATAAACTGGAGAAAAGAACAGAGACCACTTGGGAAATGAGTCACGGAGAGTCGTATTTTCCAGATATCTTAGTTAACCTCTTATGTTTTGGAACATAATTTTAACTCTTAGAATTCTCTCTAAAACACAGACAGATATGTATTTCTTTTTAAAAGATATGTATTTTAAAAGATATCTTTTAAAAAGATATGTATTTCTTTATGAAGATTAGTCACTGAGCTACAGTCAAGTCAAGTGCATATTTACAAAATAGGAGATGATGTGGAATAAAAGGAAGAAATGTACTTTGCCTACAGCAACTGTGTGAAACTTGATTCCTTTAGAAATAAACCTCACAATGACATCCTGCTTTTTCTTCATTTATCAATTTTCCATAAAAGTATAATGAAGCATAGATAATTGTACAATAACCTATAAAGTATAATGTAAATTTGTGTACAATGAAGTAGTGGCTGAATCCTGACGCCGTCTTCTCCCGAATGCTTTCACTGCACTCCGGTAGCACCAACATTGCTTCCCATCGCCGACAATGACATGCAACTCATCTCTGGCTTTCAAAACTTCCCCTAATTTCAGGAATCAGAAGCTCATCGCCACTCTGCCTTTTCTCTTGCACTAAGTTGGTTTACAGGATGTATTTCACTTCATTTCAAAGATATGTGATGGCGTGAATGGGAGAAGACTTAAGTCTACCCAGTTTTCAATGATCAAAAGTAGAAAGAGGACAGCAATGTGTCTACTAAATGGAGCATCGGGTCTTAATTTTCTCTAAGACCCACTTCATATTTCATTCTGAAGAAAACTCCACACCTAAGCAACTATATATATATATATATATAT